CATTTTGAGGAACCTCTCTCTTCTTTCCCATAAAGACTGCATTAATGTAATTCTTAAAGGTTTGGGGTGCATAGTAAAAGGTCACTGGATTTGATCAGGGTCTGCTGTATGCATGTACGGCAACTTCTTCATGAATCTTATTCAAAGGAACAGTTAATCAGTATTTAACATTTTCTCTCTATATACCGCCTACAGCCTTACATGCTCAGCCTTTAGAATAGGTGAAGCCTATTTGTGCCTACATCTTGGCAACTTTCTTCAAATACTTTATTGATTAGATTCACTCCTCCCTTCATTCTCCCTAGGAAACAGCTGCCATTGCAATGTTAAAGCCAGACTGAAATCAGAGCCAGTTTGCTGTTTCTTAACAACTGCCACACAGGTTGTCAGGAGAGGCAAAACACACTCAAGTATTCATGGTGAGGTAGAGAAAGCATCCCATGGCTCTGTATCAGAAAGTAACAAAACACTACAGCAAAATACTCCATCATCACACTAGAACTGTTGTAAATTTCATGTGATCTTCAAGCCCAATCCTTCAATGACTACATTACTTTTTAAGTCTTTGTTTTTGTCTGAAACCACAGTATCTCCAAATAAATTCAAAACCTTCAGATAAGTGTCTAGAATGTCCTGAGCAGAGAGACATTTTTCAGGAGACTAGTTCTTCTGTGAGTGATGAATATCAATCACATGGACTTGAGCCATAAGACTTGCTTTGACAAGCCCCATGTGCTTTGAAGGTGATTGGTTCATGATAGCACTAAATTCACTGATGAATTTAAAAGATTTATGTAATACTGGGAGGTGAGTCACTAAGGGTATGACCTAGGGGGTATGTTTTTGTCCGCAGAGCCTTCATTTTTCTGCTTTCTGGCTACCATGGGATAAGCAGCTGGCTTCTAACATGACCCATTTTTGCTTTGGAGCAAGCCAGATTTGGACTAAACTCACTGGAAATTGTGACCAAATAAATCTCTCTTTATGAAGTTGCATCACTATTTTGTCCCAACATCAGAATGCATCCAAAACAAGCATAATAGTATCATCATCTTTGCTGTAGCATCCTCTTCCTTCTTAACCACCCCTCCTCTTTCCTCTTTTTCCTCCTCCTTGTTCTTAATCTCTAGAAATGTTGATGCCTCAGGTGCCATTTTGTAGACAATTCCTCTGGACAATTAGATTCATGTTCACTTCCTGGGTCATCATTCTTATGTTGGCTCAGTGAACCCTGTTTTCATGTTTGCTGTGTCTCAGTTTACTTTTTAGGTTGAAAATATATTTTAAATTATCAGACTGTACCCTCACAAACATGTTCACTTATTATGGGTCAATTTTTACATGTTTTAATTATTTATTTTAAAGAGAATAAAGAATAATAAAAAAACATTGGAAATGATGCATGATTTCAAAACACAAGCTGATATGAATTTGGAAAAAATGTTCAACATCATTAGTCATTTGAGAAATGCAAATTAAAACAACACTGAGATCCCATCTCACCCCAGAAAGAAGACTGTCATCAAGAAATCAACAAATAAAAAATGCTGGAGGGGTTGTGGGGGAAAAGGAACTCTTCTCCACTGTATGCATCAATTTTTAGAAGAAAAATATCTATTTCTTTATATAAAATCTAGTTCTTCCAAAGTATTAGAGTTTTAGTTTCTCTTTTCATTTTGTTGTTTGTTTGTTTTGCTTGCTGTGTGATTTTTTTTTCTTATTTTCCTGGTCTGAGGGGCTGGGGATAGGACACCAACACATGACTTTACAGGACTCCAAGTAATCTTTGAAAAAATACTTCACCAAAAAGATATACATAATATGGACTTTTACTCAAATGTTAATATCAAAATTGGTTAGGTGTGATATCATCTTTTGTGTCCCAGAGGAAAAAGAAGCAGTCAAGATGACTGACTGACAGTAACATGATAGACATTTCAGGCTTAGAATTTCAATTTTATATTTAGTAAAAGAACATTTTAAAAACATCATTTCCATGTTATAGAATACTCAACAATTTATTCTCCCTTCAGGTATATGGCTTTTAATATAACAGTCATTTCTGGTGTATGTCTCAGGCTAAAGCTATGGCCCAACTTCAGCTACTTTAAGATATCTTAGTTTCAGTCACATTTTTCTTTTCCACTGAATGAAAGATTGAATGCATAAATGACTGAATAAAATTGTGGCTACTCCACTAGTAAGGTATATTTTCTTGGGGGATTTAACTCAGTAGTAGAGGCTTTCATAGTATGTGTGAGGCTCCGCTTTAGGTCCTTATACCTTCAAAATGTATATACTTATTTTTTTCAGGATGTATTGCCCCTAATTTATTCCTCATATTCTTCTTAATGTGGAATAACTTTACACTTCAGTAGTATACTATACTTTCAGTTGAAGTTATACTCATGAAAACTGTAAAATTGTATCATATATATTAAATAAATGTGCAGTCATACCCTAAGTAACATTTTGGTCATTCTTTTAAGATGGTGATACACAGTGTTTTGTGGTTTTTGGGTTTTTTTTATTATGAGAAATCGAACTAAGGACCTTAGGCTTGCCAGGCAGGCACTTGTGTGGCTGAGTTATACCTGGGCCCTACACAGTATATTAACTATTAGTATTCTTTTTTTTTGGTATTGTTTTATTTTTATACAAGTAAGAGAACATTTTAACATTTTTATTAATATTTACTCATATTACATTAAAATAAAAAGAAATATGCTCATGTAAATGGATACATAAAAGAAATATGCAAATTTCATTTATATCTGAATCTTAGTATCCCTTGATGTGATCTTTAAAATCATATAATAGTTTTCAAAAATATATCATTTAATTTCCTCTGCACCGCAGCACTTTGAAATATTAGTCATATTTCCCACAACGCTGAAAGAACATAAAGCAACATTATTCAGAGTCTGGAACCAAACCCTATCATAAAACTCCAAGTCCAGTGGTCTCTCCATATCACATTTGCATTGAGAGAATGAAGGAAACCTCCAGGATTCTTCCACCCAAGTCATGTTTCTGTGTCACCTGCAGCCTTACTCATCTCCCAGATCAGCAGTATTAAAAGAGAAGCATCATCCCTCCTGCAGGATATGGCAATCCATTGTTATGTAAAGTACATTCTTTTATAAGTTTCACTACAAATTGTTTATGGAACCCTCAATATTTCTCTTGGGTCAGTTATAAATGGACATAAATAGGGCTTCAAAATAGGAAAGAAAGCTAAGACCTTTGTATGATGAATATTATACAGTTTTTTTTATTGTGCTTTAAAAATATCTACTCTTTTCCTTATGAAACTTTAACATCAGACTCATTTCCTGATATTTTACCTACATATATCTCCTAATGCTTATCCTTCTCCCATTACCCTGTGGACACAGCGCATTGTTTTCCATACCTCATAATTACCAAGATTGTTCTCCCTTTGAAACACGGCCCCAGCTTTTCCCTCTGTCTAGAATGTTCACATGTGACTGTATCCCCTAGGCAGTGAGACCTCAGCTTCCGGGTCATCTCTTCAGAAAAGTCCTCCATGAACACTAAATCCAAAGTAAGCACAGACTTATCCTCACTATCATCTGCTTAAGTTATGACTTTCTAAGGGACTTTTCTGGTACATATGTTTATTTTTTATTCACTCACTATCTCTTTTTTCCTCATACCCATCTGCACTTTATTTTCACATAAATCCTCTGAGAGTGCAGACATTTTTCTATCTTCAGCTTTGTGTTTTTGACATTTAAATAGATGTTGGACATTGTGATGACTAAATTATTTAATTTGCTGATTAAATAAACTACATTATTTGTACCAAGTAAATTTCTGAGACAAATGAGAATGAGCATTTCACATAAAAAGAGCTGCTAAGGAATTAACACTGTAAAGATATTTGCAAAAAGGACAAAAATACCTTTACTCAATCATCAATACATATCTCAAGTAAACATCTTACCAGTGAAGACCCAGAGTGTTCTCATACCCACACTACTGCCCTCAATTCCAATGACTTCAAAGGAGGTTCCCTTTTTCCTGGCCACTCTAAAGGATTATTTTCTTTCCTATCCTTAGAAACTGAGATCACAAAAAAATTAGTCTCCCTTACTGCATTTTCTTGAGACTACAGAGTAAGGACAAAAGATGAGTGAGAATAGCTTCCAGAGGAATGCAAGGGAAAAATCCCCAAAAGCATTCAGCAGAGGATTCTTAAGAGAATAAACAAATTAATAACTCTGAAACTACCAACATCAATATGTCCATGACAGTTTCAGTGGAATTTTCCATGTGTTGTAGACAAAAAGCTCATGGCTGCTCTGTGGACACATAGTTCAGAATTCTAGAATTTAGTTAGCATGCATAAAGCCCTGGGCAAAATCACCAGCACTAAAAAAATAGATGATAGATGACTGATGGATAGATGGATGATAGATGATAGATGAAAGATAGATAGATATATAGATGGATAAATAGATGAAAATCTGACGACCTTACCATTTCTGAATTTATTTACCACTTGAATTTTCTACTTAAACCTTACAATGTCTAGGACTGATATATAGCTTACCAGGGGAACAATCAGGTTCAACCTTCAGCACCACAGAAATGAACAGAAAAAAATATTTACTGAAAATAAAAAGGAAAAGATGATGTGATGAGCTATTCTGTCTCTGTCTGAAAGAATAATAATCTAACCCTCTCCCTTATATGTCCTTTACCTCAGAAGTGATATGTATAATTAAGTTAATGTTGTATAGTATTGTTTTTATTTTGATAACTTACTGTGTTCTCTGTAGGTCTGTGGATTTTTTTATTACTGTTGCTGCTGCTGCTATTGTTGCTATTTTGTAGTCAAACAAAAAAAAAAATCCCAAACCTTGTACATGTTAAGCAAACATTACTCCACTGAGTTACAGATTTCACCCATTCCACAAATTCACAAATAGCATTCTTGAACTAAAATTTGTGATCAGTAACACCAGACCTATTTAGGAGAGTATTCTTTTCTTCAAAGTCTTTCTCAGTGCAGCGTGGACATCTTTGTTTTTCAGACTGTAGATAAAAGGGTTCATCATTGGTCCCACAATGGTATAAAAAACTGTGGATACTTTATCTCGACCAACAGATCCAGAAGAAGGTTTAAGATACATGAATGCTGATGCCCCAAAGAAAAGAGAAACAGCAATGATGTGAGAGCTACAGGTACTGAAGGCTTTGGACCTGCCCCCTGTAGAATGGATGGAGATATTGGATAAGATCAAGGTATAAGAAATGACGATGGTGAGACTGGGCAATATTATATTGACACCCACCACAATGAAAACCACCATCTCATTGATGGAAGTACTTGTGCAAGAGAGCTGCAGGAGAGGAGGTATGTCACACATGTAATGATTGATGACATTGCTGTCACAGAATGTGAGTCTCAGCATACAAACTACATGGGCCATGGAACCCACGAAACCCATTGCATACACACCCACTGCCATCATGAGGCAGACCTGATGGGACATGATGACCTGGTAAAGCAGGGGCTTACAGATGGCCACGTATCTGTCATAGGCCATGGATGTCAAAATGTAGCACTCATCAATTACAAAGAAGGCAAAGAAAAAGAGCTGAGCCATGCACTCATCATAAGGGATGATGTTTTGATTTACAAAACTCATCAGCAGTCGAGGAGTTATGACAGAGGAGTAGCAGAGATCCACAAAGGAAAGGTGGAAGAGAAAGTAGTACATGGGAGTGTGCAGGGGAGGATTCAGACCAATCAGAACAATCAAGCCCAGGTTCCCCAGCGTGGATACCACATAGATTCCTAAGAAGAGGAAGAAGAGAGGCAGCTGGAGCTCTGGCTGTTGTGTTAAACCCAGCAGGACAAACTCAGTCACTGAAGAGCCATTGCCTGAGGCCATTCTTCCCTGAGACATTTCTGTGAGAATAAGAGAAATAGTAACATGTTCACATTAAAATGAAATATCAGGTTTATCTATCCAACCCCAGGATAAGGAGATTGAGATGCAGATTGGGAGGATGAACTCAAGCCTACCTTTCAAATGTCTTTGTTTTCACCATTTTAGAAGACCAGGGAAATGTATAAAGATGAATAATGAGAATGGCAGTGAAAGAAGTTTCTGGAAGAATAGATTTCAGGGGGCCAGAACCACATTTGGCCCTGCAGCATCTCTACTCCACTTCTGCCTTGAGAAGTCCCCCTCCTACCTCAGGATTCAGTGGTGATCTCAGCAGACAGGAGATGAGGCATTTCAAGGGCTCACTGAACCCCACAGATGAGATTTGCTAGAGCAGTAGCAGAAGAGATGCAATTTAATGCTCACCTTTTGGTATTATGGCTTCAAGACAAGACCTTGATAACTCTCCTCCTCTACTTCCAGAGAGATCCAATTTGTTCTGATAAAACTTATGAGTGTTGAGCCCAGTAAAGAAATTTTGTTTTCATTGTAATTGCTGTTGCCTGGGAAAAATTGTGGACTGGGAGAATCAGAACACAGCCCCCAAACCCCCATCCTCTGAGAAGCTACGAGTTACAGGTTGTGATTTCTGCTAGTAACTTTGCCCAGAGTGTCCTCTCTAGACCAGGAGGTGGTAAATATTATCCACTGATGCTGACAAAGAACCACCCAATAATATGACCTAAGGGGTTTGAGGAGTTCAGAATCCCAAGGGACCTGGTTAGAAGTTGGAAGACCTATTTCCTTCAATATTTCTCCAGAGATCCAGATAAATACCTAAAAAAAAACTAAATGTGCTGCATTCACAGAAGAAATTAGTTATAATAACGTTAACTAGTTGAAACTGTACCATTTTACACACATTTGTATTTCCTTCCAAGTAGGAACATCTCCACATAGGAAAGCAAGGAAAGCTGTCCTGTGTCTGCTTGTCACTAGCTGGGTTACTATATATCTGTTCTTTGCTTGTTGTGTCTTTCTCCAAAACACATACTCCCATACATTTGAACCTAAGCTCCTCAATGACAGAGGTTTTGAGTGTTTTTTCTTCTGCTCTATTGCTACACATACAGAATAATCTGTGATATTTATAGCAGGTGTTCAGTGAATATGTGTATACTAAAAGGATCCTTCTGTCTTTCCTAGAGCATATACTGGATGCTACACAGGCTTATGTTGTGCCAATGCTTTTATTTGTAAGTAGCAATGTGGGACAGGAAACCTTCTGAAAGTCATGCCAGTCACTGCTAGACTCTCTGATGCCGTCCAAGATGAAGCTAGGTCAGAGACTGCAATCTCACAAAAATAAAACCAATATAATTTCCCTCATTACTGAACATCACTAGGAGGACCTGCATGAGATTTTTGAGAGGTCCCAAAATCTATTTGCATAGACAAGGATCGTAGACTTATTGGGATCAGCGCAATGTAGAATGCTTTCAAGTACAAAGGCCCTGTTCTGTTTGGGGTAAAGACCTTAGAAACCACTCACAAATTTTACTTGTCATTTTGCAGAAGATTGAAGTAACCTTAGGGCAGATTTAGAAAGATAATTTTAGACCACTAGCAGGAATGATAGGGCTTATATTGAAGGAAGATGAACTGTGGAAAGCAACTGAATAAGGATTCAATGAGTGACTCAAAAAAGTAACATAGAGACAAGGAAAGAAGGAAGAAAGGAAAGAAACAGGGGAGGAAGGAACAAAGGAGAGAGAAAAGAGAAAGAAAGAAAAGAAAAGGATAGGAAAGAAAGAGGAAAAGCAAATATTCTCTGAATCAATATCTCTGCTGCAAGTGACTCAAAGAAATAGGTGTAATCAAGAGATATTGTGAGGGACGATTCTGTAGGATTTCTCATATTGTGGCTAGAAATACACAATGTAATTTTTCAAGAAAATTCAATAAGCCTTAAAACAAAGAAAACAGAAACATTGCAGATATTACTTAAAATTACAATTCCACTTTGAACAAGTGGGTCTGCAATCACAAGTGTACAGCAGAATGCACAAACAAGGCCTGGTAATGCTCAGAAGAAATCAGACCATGAAGGAAGCATTGGGGTCCTTTGCATCTTAAAGCTATGGAATTAGTGAAATCAATGAGAGAAAGCACAAAGAAAAACAACAGAGAGAACAAAACATTTAGAAATCCTCCAAACAATGTAGAATTAGCCTACATTCCACACTTATGATAATGAGAAATGCAATCAGTGAATCCCAGTGATTATTCTCAAACCCCTCAAATTACTAAAGACCCTAGCTCCTTCAGGGACGCCTTGCAGTGCACCTCACATGACAGGCATTCACAGCAGTGATGAGGACTTGCTGATCCATTACAATTTGTGCTTTCTGGAAATCTTTAGAGCTTTTATTCAGGTGGGGCAAGAACATGAAATCCTCCCGCAAATTTCACATTATATCAGATCACATTGGGAGAAGTTTATGTCAGGTTCTAAGGTAGAGCTCAGGAGGAGGACCATACTTTCCACTCACTGCCACCAGCATACAGAGGGACCAACATAGAATGAATGGAGAGAGATTCTGAGTTTGTACTTAAACCCCAACACTCTGCCATTCCCTTGCTTTCTTTATTTGCATTTCAACTATAACCGAGTAAGTCAGATGGTCCTGCTTTCCCCTGAGCTATGCCACAGCATACTTTGCTCATCCTGCACTCTTTCCAAGGACAATATATTTCATTTTGTCAAAGTTAATGGTAACTTGATTTGGAATGTTTTATTTTTTACTATATTTTCATAAAAATGCAGATAAGAAAAATGTACATTTTTACTAAATGGATTTTTGAGTTGCAGGATTATTTTACAATTTGTAAGCCTGCTACAAAAGCCCAGAAACACTGGCACTCTAGCTTTTGCTCAGAGCTGCATTCCTTTTTTTTTTTTGAGACAGGGCCTTGCTATGCAGTTCAGGCTGGCCCTGAGCTCACTTTGTAGCCCAGGCTGGCCTTGAACTCACAGTGATCCTCCTGCCTTAGCCTCCCAAGTGCTGGGATTACAGGCATGTACCACCATGCCCGGCAGAGCTGCACTCCTAGCCCTTTAAATATTTGTTTATTTTACTTGAGACAGACTCTCTTTAAATTTTCCAGACTGGCCGTGAACTTGCTGTCTTGCTATTCCAACCATCCTGGTAGTCAGCCTCCTAATTAGCTGGGTTGCAGGTTGGTACCACCATGCCCTGC